AGTCTTCCAATGATCGTCGATACACAGCGTATCAACCACTCTCTCTCTCTCTCTCCATACACAGCGTCTGAAGACTAAGCTCTAAAGACCGACTCTCAAACAGAGTTATAAAATACTTTGTTATCGATTGAATCAATTTTTTTTTGGAGAATACACTCACCCCCCTTAAAGTTTATCACTTAATCATTTAGACCCTTAATATTTGAAATATTATATACAAACCCCTAAAGTTTGTACAAGCGAAACAGATAGACCCTGCTGTAAATATATCCGTTAATAAATTATTTCACACCCCCCTAAAGTTTGTAAACATATATTACTTAGGCCCTTTAAGTTTAAAATATTATACTTAGACAAAAAATACTTCAATCAAAGATAGAATATCAAATATTTTTTTAATATAATGATTAGATACATCAATATTTTTTAAAAATAAAAAATATCATATTTTTTAATCCTAAAAAACATTGGTACTTTTTAAATCTAATATAATAATTAGATATATCAATATTAATATTTCAATTTCAATTAGTTGAATATTGATAATGACCAATATTTTTGGTAACGCTCTTATGTTTCATTTTAATTATGTTTAATGTGTTTTTTGATTTATTGTGGGCATATGATGCATGGATGATGATATTTATATTTTTCAAAAAAATTTTATGATTTTTCAAATTTTTTTAGAGCTTTTATCTAGCATTTTGAGCGTATCGGCCGATACTATACCACAACACCGCGACCGATGTGTATTAGTGCTCTCCGAGTTGATGACCAATACCGCAACTTTGAACCATAGTCAGATTGTCCAATCCTGTCCTTTTAACCAATGTCTTATGTGTGCCATCTTTCAATTTCAATCTCATTTCACTCATCAACTCTCATGTTGTTTCTTATTTCAACTTGGTTTCGGTTTTATTCAAGACCTGTTAGCGTGGAGAACAATTAGGATGGGTAAAGAAAGAAATGGATTGTACTACCTTATGCAGAATCCTCGCAATCAATCTTATTCCAATGTTTCTTCTATACAAACTAAAGTCTCTTCTAATCTTTGGCATTTTAGACTTGGCCACTTGTCTTCTCAGAGATTAGCTTTGGTACACAAAGATGTGTCTGATATTACTTTTTGTAATAATGATCATTGCAATGTTTGTCATTATGCTAAACAAAATAGGTTACCAATTCCAATCAGCACCACAACATCAGTTGGTCCTTTTCAGTTAGTGCATTGTGATATTTGGGATCCTTCTTTTGTACATTAATTAAATGGTTCACAGTATTTCCTTTCTATTGTTGATGATTTTTCTAGATGCACTTGGTTATATATCATGAAGCATAAATCAGCTACTCAATCCTTACTCATTTCATTCTTTACCTTAGTAGAAACTCAGTTTCGTACAAAGGTCCAGAATATAAGGTCCGATAATGTTTTAGAATTTTCTGTAGAGCCTTACTTTACATCACAAGGCACAATTCATCAACATAGCTTTGTTGATACCCCTTAACATAATGGGGTAGTGGAAAGAAAACACCAACATCTTTTGAAATCAGCGAGAGCCTTAAGGTTTCAAGCTAATCTTCCCCTTCATATTGTGTTCTAATAGCAGGTTATCTAATTAATAGGCTACCTACACCAGTTTTGACTCCTTATGAATTGTTCTCTCATAAACAAAGTTATTCTCATTTGAAAGTATTTGGTTGTTTGTGTTATGCATCCATTCACCCTCGCAATAGATCAAAATTTGATGCAAGGGCTAAGCAATGTGTGTTCATTGGATATCATTATGCTGTTAAAGCATACAAAGTTTATGATTTAACTACACATTCTGTTTTCATCTCTTGAGATGTTGTATTTCATGAGTCTATCTTTCCTTTTCATTCCATTGATACTTCTTCTCAATCTGCTGAAGACAATTCCTTAGTTCTTCCCTCTTTACTTGATGATTTAACTACTTCTGATTATATTTCATCTGATGACAATGTCATCCCCTCAGCTGATTATCCTATTGATTCTCCTTCCTATTCTCCTACACATCAACCCTCTCTTAGACAATCTCATCGACCAAGAAGAACCCCTAATTACTTACAAGATTACCATTGCCAGCTTATTTCTTCTCAATCATCCACTTCAATCTCTATGGTGAGTGGTTATCATTCATCAGGTACTGCTTATGATATCTCTCAATTCCTTTCTTATAACAAATTATCTGTTGCACATCGTTATTTTGTTCTTAACATTATGAACCACAATATTTCCATGAGGCTGTTAAATCCTCTGAATGTTACACAACCATGAATTCTGAAATCCAAGCTTTTGAGGCTAACAATACCTGGACCGTTACTATTCTAACAACTAGCAAGGTTTCTATTGGTTGTAAGTAGGTATATAAGATCATGTACAAGGCTGATGGTACCATTGAAAGGTACAAAGTAAGGCTAGTTGCTAAAGGGTATACTCAAGTAGAGGGATTGGATTATTTTGAAATATTCTCTCCGGTGGCTAAGTTCACCACTATCAGATGTCTATTGGCCTTAGCAGCAGTCCAAGGCTGACATCTTTATCAATTAGATGTTCATAATGCTTTCTGACATGGAGACCTTATTGAAGAAGTTTATATGCAACTTCCACCTAGTTTTGCTAAGAAGGGACTCAATCAAGTCTGTAAGCTGAATAAGTCCTTGTATGGGTTGAAACAAGCATCAAGACAATGATTTTCTAAACTATCTCAGGCAATTCTTGGATATGGTTGTGTACAATCCAAATCTGATTACTCTCTTTTCATTAAACAAGATGATAATTTTTTTCTAGCTATGTTGATTTATGTTGATGACATAATTATAGCCTCTGATACTCCTACTGATGTAGCTGACTTGAAGCACTTTCTTCATAGTCAATTCAAAATCAAAGACCTTGGTTCTTTGAAATATTTTTCAGGCCTTGAAATAGCGAGATCATCTCAGGGAATTTCAGTTTATCAACGCAAGTTTGCTCTCAAAGTGCTTCAAGATTCTGATTTTCTTTGTGCTAAACAAGCTAAATCTCCAATGGAACAACATCTAAAGCTAGACAGTCTCACTGGTTCAGAAGTATCTGATCCTTCTGCTTATAGACGACTTGTGGGCAGATTACTCTACCTTACTCTTATAAGACCTGATTTGGCTTATGTAGTTCAGGTTCTTAGTCAGTTCATGAACACCCCAAGACAACCTCATTTAGATGCTACTCATCGCATTCTTAGATATCTTAAAGCCACACCTGCTCAAGCTTTATTTTTCCCACTCTCCTCAGCTCTCCATCTTAAAGCTTTCTGTGATGCTGCTTGAGCTAGATGCCCTAATACACGCAAATCATTGACTGATTTCTATGTTATTCTGGGCAATTCCCTTGTTTCTTGGAAATCAAAGAAACAATCTACAGTCTCTCAATCTTCTGCTGAAGCAGAATATAGAGCTATGGTCTCTACTTGTTGTAAACTCACTTGGTTGCTTGCTCTCCTTGCTGATTTCAGAATTCTTCATCCTCTTCCTGCTTTACTCTTTTGTGATAACAAAGCAGCTTTACACATTGCAACCAATCCTGTTTTACATGAAAGAACAAAGCACATTGAGCTGGATTGTCACTATGTTCGTGATCAAATCCATCATGGCATCCTCAAAGCTCTTCATGTTACATCTTCAAATCAACTCAATGATATTTCCACCAAACCACTTGGTCTTTCTTCTTTTTCTTTACTTCTTGGCAAGATGGGTGTTCATAACATCTACACTCCATCTTGAGGGGTGTGTATTGAGAATATTGCAGCTACAGAAGCTGAATCAAAGCATGAGCTGAAGATGCTGAAGCTGCATAGATGAAGATAAAGCTGCATACAGAGTATCTCTTGCATAGCTGGACTTGGAGTTGCAGCACACCAGAATGTATCTATTTCACTTCAAGAAAGCTATGCACATGCAATTGAGCTGAAATGAGATCACCCAAGAGTTGAGCTGGCATAATTAGTTACAGTAGTTAGTTAGGATCTAATTATTGTTATAACAGATTCAATTAGTTAGAAAAGAGAGTGAGTTAGAAGTGAGATAGTTAGCTCTTGTAATTTGTATAAATGTAGACCTTGTGTCATTCAACACAATAATGAAAATGGAGATTCTTTCTTCCAAATCATTTCTTCCTCATTATTAACAACAACTAAAGACCCTTATGATCATTCCTATATAGAAGGTAAACCGTGAAACGGGCCACTGCCTAAGGCAGTGATAAAATTGTTGGGCAAGCTGCATGCACGTGAGTTTGTGCATAAAAACCTTCGGGCAGCCACTTAGGGGCTTATTGGTAAGAGGGTATGGGGGCCTTGGTAAGAAGGGTTTGGGGAAAATAGTCCAAATGGCCCCCAAATCTCATGTTTGTATGAAAATTTCAGTCCCAAATTTCCAAATCCGGCCCGTAGCTGGCCCGAAAATTAAACCTATGATCATGGATTTCGTCAAACCTAGGAAGGGGGAAGGGGGAAGGGGGTGGATTTAAAAAGATGGGTAAGGGGTTAAGAATCCAAAAAACAATTGTACTCCTAGGATATGAATTGAATTGATCAAGAGTAAAATAGTTATTTATAAGACAAATAGTTGTTAATAATTATGATATATCCGTGGTCCTACGTATGTATATGTTACATACTAAATATGGGTATAGACCAGATTGAATGTTGAATCTCATCTTTGTAAAGAGGGCTTGGATTTGGAAGGGTTCGAAGAAACCAATCCAAACCCCTCCCCAAAACTCATCCAACCAAGCCCTTAGTTCTTTAAGCGGTATTCAGTCTAACCTTTCACAGTTTTGAACCATTATATAGTAAAGGTAAAACATGAATGAATCTCAACAACTACTTCCTCTACCCACTAATATCCAATGCCCATTAAAAGCAAATAATATAAAATCTGCTAAATGCGCAAAGACCCAAAAAATAGTCAAAGATAAAAAGGATTATAGGATGTTATATTCCAACCTCAACAATTCGGCCATGATCATTGAACAGAAACAGATCAAGTTGTGGCGAATCCAGACCCAGCACAATACAATCCCTCGGAGTCTCAAACGATGAGAGAGAGAATTGCTTGAACACAACACCTACATCAAAGTAAATCAACCCGGAACTAGGAATATCCACCCTAATACCCTTCACAGGGAACCAAAGAAACAGGTCTTCCGCAGCGACACCGGACAATTCCGCAATTTCACCAAACCTTAGGGTGCCGGAGACATTCAAATTAAAACGGACGTGGGATTCGAAATTGGTGTCGCAAATGCTGTCCAAATACACCTCAAAATGGCCTGTGGATGGGTCTATCGTAAAATTAGTCACACCTTTTGGAAGGAGACCGATTGGGAGACCGTGGGAGTGGAGAAGATCGTAGATTGATGAAATTGTAGATGTATCTGTGGTTGATGATGTTAACGGGCATGTGGAGATTAGAATACAGATGGTGAAGGTCAGAGAGATTAAAAATGAACCCATTTTGTTGTTTGGAGGAAGAAAGAGGGAGGGACAGAGGGCATGAATTGGGCAGGTCGGGATTTTAGCCGTTTAGGGAAAGAGCAGAGAGGTAAAGAGAGGTAAAGAGTTTGAGTGGGAGAGAAACGGGAAGCGAGGGAGGGGGTTGGGAGTTCATGCTGTGGTGCCAGCTAGATATAGTATTTAAAAAAAAAAAAAAAACTGGAGCTAGATATGGTAAGGAAAATGTTTTGTATTTTTTTTGACCTAGTTTAATGATTAAAGTTGGGATCTACTAACAAGCAATTTATAGTGACAATTGTTATCTTTGGCTCATCAATCACCTTAATTCGCCCATAAATTAATAGGTTGAATACTTATAATAATTAATGCCAATTTTAAGTAAGCTAAGTAATAACACTCAATTTAATTTAGTGGATTAAAATGGATTACATATAAATATAATTGAGTAATCTATTATTTTTTCGAGATAATATTTTGAACTCCTGGACATCATTTGTTTCTAAACTCTAATCCCAAAGCCCATCACAACCATAGGAAAATACATATTTCAAGAGTGTATTGCTTGATATATGATTTGTGTGAATAAGGAGAGGAATAATGATTATTTTACTAATCATGGATTGATTTCTTTTCATAAAACTATGCCAAGTCATTTTTATTGATATAGTCGTTATTGATTATGAAATATATGTGAATTATATATTGCTTTGATTTATATCAAATCTATTCACATACATCGTCACTATAGTCAGAGTAAATATATGGTTAAGTATATACTTTGGTGAGGATTGCATCGAGTCTAACCATAGATCGGGGAAGGGATGAGTTATTTTTTATTGATCATCTAATCATGCACAGTTATTTGCAGACCACACATGAGGTTCAATAGGGATTCAATATGTGAATACTATAGTATAGCTTTTAATTCTATAAATTGACTTGGTAAGAACTTATTCTTTTTTCTATCAAATATATTGTTGCTTTATATTTTGTTAAAGTTATATGTTAAATTCAAAGGATCAATAGATTAATAACGGTTCAAAAAAAAAAAAGATTAATAAAAGTTTGTAGGTATCTTCACTTAAAATTTTCATGAGACTATAACTCATCCACTAAGAAAAACTTAGCTGTTTAAAAGCTTCTTACGTATACTAAATGCAAACATGTGTCTTGTGAAAGTGAATTTTTATTTTATTTTATTAGGTTGTTTTATTTGATTTTTAGTTTTTGGGACCCATGTATTACTAGATACTAGTAATATTCAGGTGGGTTTGGCTTGTTTGTTGTGAGAAGATAACAATAGGTGGTGCTATTAAGTGGAACGACAGTGTTTTGGCCCCAAATGCTGCCGTTTTGCGAACTACTGGAAAACAAAAAAAAAAGGGGCCAAACGGCACCATTTTTTGCCACGGTGAAAGCACAAAAACCCCTCAAAAAATGAAATTTCAGCAATGGTTCATCACATTCTCCCGCCCTCAAGATTGTATTCCCATAGACTTCCATCATATTGTTGAAAAATCTCAAAATCTAGTACTTGGATTCCCATAGACTTCCCTTGTATTGTTTAAAAATCCCAAAACCCAATATTTCATTCGAGTTGGTTGCACAGTCCATCTGAAAATTCGTTCCCACTCCATTTGATTTGGACTCCATTTGTAAGTTCAAGCACTTTTTTTTTTTTAGTGATTTCGTATTGTTTATGATTCTTTTTAAGCTTTGAAAATGTACCACTATCACATCGAAATTGTAATCATTAGTGTGTTGATCTGTTAAAAAAAAAATTTTATTAATATCTTGTAGATTTGTTTACCAGTAATATATTGTTTATATTTCATTTACCAAAAAATTGTTTGTTTAAACTTTTTTATATGTTTTATGTAGATTAGACATCTTTAACATTGTGCTTATGAATATGCTTAATGTTATATTTTGTTCTTAATATGATGTTGATATTGTATTGATATTTTCATAATTTTTTTGACATTTTAGGTGACCTATTTATAATGTAGATAGAATGTGCCGAGATTGAGATAACAGATAATACTCCGCATATTGACATGCAATTTGACACGGAGGAAGATGCTTATAGATTCTATAACAATTATGGAGGATCTGTGGGATTTAGTGTGCTGAAAGATTATCACAACAAAAGTTTGAAGGATGGTTTAGTAATCTATAAAAAATATGTTTGTTGTGAAGAAGGACAAAGAAGTTGAGATAAAAAGGGATTAAAAAATAACAAAGTCTCGAGCAGAGACACAAACGAATTATTCAGCTCACATGTGCATATCTCTTAAGAGAGATATTGAAAAATTTGTTATGGTGAAATAGGAAGACAAACACAAACACCCTTTGCACCTTACTAAATGTATACATATGATGTCATCCTAACAAAATATTTCTGGAGGCCAAGGCATAAATGTTGATATGGCTGAGGATTATGGGATCTCACTGAAGGCATCGTATGAACTTTTGATTACGCAAGCAGGTGGGAGGGAAAGCTTAGGACTCACTCTTTAAGATCAAAAGAATTACATTCAAAAAAGGAGACAACGAGACCTGCGATATGGTGAAGCAGGTAGTTTGTTAAATTATTTCCAAACAGAAGCAGAAAAAAATTCAACATTCTATTATGGTGTGCAGTTGGAAATTGAGGAGCATATCACAAATATATTTTGGCCCGAATCAAGAATGATTATCGATTATAGTCACTTTGGGGATGCTTCATTTGACACAACATTTCGAACAAATAAGGAGTATCGACTATTTGGGATTTTTATCGGCTTCAACTATTTTCGGGAGACAGTAATATTTGGTGCTACATTGATGTATGATGAAACAACAACTTCATTTCAATGCTTATTTGAGACATTTCTACATGCAATGTTTAGGAAGAAGCCAATTATCATATTTACTGACCAAGATCAAGCAATGGCTAAGGCTTTATCCCAGGTGATACTAGAGACTTGTCATGGGTTATGTACATGGCACCTATCCCAAAATACTTTAAAGCATCTAGGGTACCTTTATAAGGATGGTTCAAAGTTTTCAAACCAATTCAAAAATTGCATATATGAATATGAGGAAGAACATAAGTTTTTTGATGCATGAAAATTTTTGCTTGATGAATATAATTTGCAAGATAACATATGGATCAATTCAACTTGGGCATTGGAGGAAAAATGGACACATGTATATTTGAAGGATACTTTCACAGCAAGTATGAGGAGTACTAAGCTTAGTGAGAGCCTTTATGCAGCATTACGAGGGTACTTGAAGCTAGACCATGATATTGTTCAATTTTTTACCCATTTTGATTGAACAATAAATGACGAAAGGTATAAACAGTTTGAGGTAGAATACCATGCGAAGCAAAATTTGCCAAGATTATGCTTAAAAAGAGCTCCCATGTTAGTGTAAGCAGGGCAATGTTACACTCCTATTTTTGAGAGATTTCAAGAGGAGTATGATGCGTTCCAATGTGCTATTGCAAAGCCGATGGATGTGTTTGATGGTTGTCAGCATTTGTTGTTAGATTATACGACGAAATCAAGGAATATTTGGTGTTGATTAATTCTAATGAGCAAAAAGTTAGTTGTAGTTGTCGAAGATTTGAAATGGTAGGGTTTTTATGTAGTCATGCACTTAAAGTTCTAGATACGGTGACCATTAAGAAAATTCCAGATCAATACATAATACAAAGATAGTGGTGAGATGCAACAAGGCTATGTAGGCAGATTTTCACTGTCAGACCAAATGAGGAAGATCCCAAATTGATGGGTTCAGAACAGTATAGGCAACTTTGTAGTAAAATGGTACCACTAGCAGCTCGTTGTTCTAGCATTAAGCCTGCATACCAACTAGTGAACAAGGATATTGATGAGCTTTCCAAAAAAGTTGACATCATGTATGCATCACTCGGTGGGGATGAAAAAGTTCGTGAGGATGAAAATGTTGACCCCAACATTCTACGGGTAAAAGGTTTGAAGAGAAAAGATGGTGGTTATAAGGGTGGGGGTTGACTAAAGCCTTGGAATGAGAAACAAGCAAAAAGGAAAACAACTTATTCTCATAAGTCTAGGTGGTGTTTGGATGATAGGATTAAGGGGGATTGGATTAAAATTGTGAATACAGTCCATGTATCCTTGGTTTGGGTAAGTTGTTTGGGATTGTATTTTCGTTGGTTTTGAAAAAATCAGCCGTATATTTTGAAACAAAGAATCCCATCTACAAGTGATTGAGAATTCCCTTCTACTGTGAGGGATTGTGGAATTGAGAAGTAGGATTAAATGACTAAAATCTAAAATACCCTCTATAGTAAAAATTGTAGGATTTTTACCTCCATTCCCCTTCACTTTCACTTTCACACTGGTCCCCTCTTCTCCTTGAACGATGCTATTTTTGCTCAACCAGGTTTGCCTCTCTCTCTGTCTTTGTCTCTCTCTTTCTCTCTGTCTATGTAACGCCCCAAAAACCCCCTTGGGTGACATTACATTCTAAAAACCATTCACCCCATGAGAGCATTACGTAAATTCATCACGACGAAAGTTCATTCATCAACCATTCATATTTTAACAAAATTTGGGCAGAGTCTCATTTGTACGGGGAGTTTTACCCAAAACACAACCTGTACAATTATATTACAATTGACCACACCGGGTCCACATATGCATAACTATTGACCACACCGGGTCTATTTATCCATCATAAAATAAACTTTCATTCATCATATGTCATATCCACAATGCCATCCCAAAAGAATAGGCCAAGTATGACAAATATATTCCCAAAAGAATTAAATTACACTTGCAGTGAAATAACAAAATACTAGACTTTACATGATTTCAAAATAAACTCTCTAGTCTAGTACAAAAGAAATATAACTCTAGGCATCCAGTTCAGGACCCCCGTTCCCCTCTAGGGGAGCTTCCCCATGCACTGGTTCATCTACTTGTAACTCCTCCTCATAGACGAAATCTGAAAAGATATTATTTGTAGGG